TGTCAGGCAGATTCAGTGGGAAAAAATGGACTTTGTGTGAAAACACAAATGCAGGAACTAGCTTAGCTTCTTAGGGGAGTCGCAGATCATTTGAATTTGAGGAGGGGCTTGTGGGGAGCCCAACCGCCTGGAGGGGTGTACAGGGACCAGTGTTGCTGGGGAGTCAGGCCTGAGGGGTGGGGAGTGGATTCTCATGCTGACAAAACTCAGCTTCACCTCGGAGCCTTGGGAAGCTGTTGGAGATCTTTAAGCAGAGGAACTGGGGATGAGTCCATTCTGGCCAACATGTGGAGAGTGGTTTGAGTAAGTTAAGGGGAAAAAAGCTGGGAGAGTAGAATCAATAGGTAGATCCGGGACAACAGCTGAGGAATAACTTCAAATTGTCTGACAAGAATTTTACTAAGGATTCCTTCTTCTCCAGAGTAACTGCTTCACAGACAAAATACAGTAGTAAATATAAAAAAAAACAACTGCACATTTTATTGTGCAGGAAAAAAAGTCAGCTGTTACTGAAAGAATTCCAGTCCAGAGGTGAAAGGGTCTTGTCATTATGGCTGCATCTTCCAGTTAGTCCTTCGGGTGCTTATTATAAGTGAATTTTTACAGTTTTTTAAAACTCCAACATGGACGGGAATTGATGCTGTCTTTACAGACACGGAGACCACGCAGTGACAATGGGAGTCTGGCACCCTCCAGTGGCCTTACTACCTTATTCCAGTGTCTGGCCCACAGTGCAGAAACCGTGTCAATAGAGCAGAGAAAGAGAAGTTAAGTCAGGAAAACATAACTTTTTATGGAGAGGATACTGGTAGAATAATACATGGATACATGTGTGAATAATAAAAAAGGCACAGAACTGTGTGTAAGAAATCTTGCCTCAGTAAACTAACTTTCACGAAGTTATTACAGGAATCTCTTAACGTTCCTATCTGTGGGAAGCAGACATATTGTGTTGTTAGGCGCTTTTGAACAGCTCTGCAATCACCAAAACAGAAACTAAACTCTCGTAAAGAAACCCAATTACTCCTCATTCTAGTGTAATTTCTTTCACATTAATATTTTGGGTAATTTGCCCTAGCCGATTTGGCTCAGTAGATAGAGTGTCAGCCTGCGGACTGAAGGGTCTTGGGTTCGATTCTGGTCAAGGGAAGAGCACATGCAAGGGTTGTGGGCTCAATCCCCAGTAGGGGGGCGTGCAGTAGGCAGCCAATCAATGATTCCCTCTCATCATTGATGTTTCTCTCTCTCTCTCCCTCTCCCTTCCTCTCTGAATCAATAAAAATATTTTAAAAAAAGATTTTGGGTCATTGAAGTTGATTCTCTTTGGTCTGCCTTTTCATTTCCTAACTAACAGAATATTTATATTCTAGTACTTCTGTGCTTGGAGTTTGATAAAATAGCAAAAGGGGAAAGCTGTCTTTAAGACACACCCATACAAAACCAGACCCTGCCCAAATATCTACAGCACAGAAAACCAGTTTGGGACCCTGAGCTACAGATGCTAACCAATTCTCATATGGGAGACAGAGGGGAACCAGCTTTCTTGAGTATCAGACACATGCTAAGCATTAACATATTCATCTCACAAAAATTGTGAATATAGAATGAAACTTTCCCCAAAGAGTTTGTATTTTAATAAGCAGTGCTAAACTTCCAGAAATGCTTCAAGATCCAAAAGAATGAGTTTTTAATGGTGAGATTTCAGGCATTTGTTTAGGTGATTGAGGTGGATATTTTGGCAAACATGCCACAAAAGTTTTCACTTGGATGGATCAAGCAGTGGGTTGCTTATCAGGAGGCGTGGGTCCCAGGGCCCAGCTTCCCATGAGACTTTGGACCTACAGATTAGTCCACTGGACCTGTTTCAAACCCTTAGTGCACGCTAATGCTCAGCATTTGCTGTTTTCAGCACCTAGGGTGGTGTATCTTCCTTGCCCTGCTTTATGTGACCCTGGTACATGAGCCTTTATAACCAAGAAAATGGACCTTGCAGCAGGAAGGCCGGGGAGGGTTGGGGGGCAGGAGGTAGGGGGGTGGGAGATCAACTAAAGGACTTGTATGCATGCGTGTGGGCATGGCCAGTGGACGTGAGACATTGGGGGATGGGGGAGGCTAGGGGGCTGTCTGGGGCGGGGGGATAAAATGGACACATATGTGACACCCTTTGTAATACTTTAGCAATAAATAAAAAAAATAAAAAAAGAAAAAAAAAGAAAATGGACCTGATACTCAACTGAAAGAGATACTTAGGAACTGTCTAAGCCAGAAATAAACAATTATGTTTATATGTTATGCCTACTTTGGGGATGACACTTTTGTCTCAAGTCCTTATTAATGACATGCTGCTTGTAAGTGGGGCAGATCCAGGTTTTGTTGGCCTGAAATTTATATAATTTATTGGACTCTCTTTAAGAAAAAGAACTCAAAATTATAAATGCAAAATTAGGTACAAAAGTGAATATTTAGAATGGGAAAAGAAATGATAAGGTTAAAAATTTGCATATTTTTACAAGTTGACAAATATAAACATTATCTAGAACTGTCCAACTTAATCCAGGAAGATGGATCAGAAACACAAAGATGTCATCCAGTATATTGGGATACATAAAATAGGCAACTTCACGTACAGATGAACTCACTATTTATTTATTTGAAGAACTAATAACTAAAAATTTTCTAAATATGATGAAATCTATAAATCCACAGATCCAAAAGGTTCAGCAAACTTCAAGCATGATAAATAGAAAGAAAATCATTCCAATTAATCCACGTCACGATTAAGTGGATAAAATTGGTGATAAAGAGAAAAAAAATCTCTTTTTTAATCCACACCCAAGGATATGTTTTATTGATTTTAGAGAGAAACACTGATGTGAGAGAGAAACAGGAATCAGTTGCCTCCCATTTGCACACAGACTAGGGATGGAACCCATAACCTACGTATCAGTATGTGCCCCGATGGGGAATGGAGCCCACCACCTTCTGGTATACCAGATGATGCTCCAGCCCACTGAACCACCCAGGCAGGGCAAAGAGAAAAACGTAAAACAATCCCTCTCCCATTCCCAATCTAATACGAAGTCCTCACAGTGATCTGAACTCAACTTCTCTTGCCTCTCAGCAAACTTACTATCAGGAACTGTGGAAAGCCTGCGATTTTCCTCTGCTTGCAAACTCACAAATTAGTTTGCTACTGTTTCCCAGATGCTGGCAGAAGATACAAGACTCCTGGAGAGGCAATCATCTTTGAAATTCTCATAAAATCTAGTGATGGACTTGCCCTTTACTTCTGGTTTTTCTTCTACTGTCTGTGTGTTCTCAGTCTTCTTTGCAGACTCAGCCTCTCGTACTTGAATTTACTACCGTGGCCAGTATCTGATCCTCCTCGGCACCCACTGTGGTCCTTTCCAACCCATCCTCCAAGTAGCACCCAGATGGAGCTCTTCAAAAGGCAAATAAGGCCCTGGCCGGTGGGCACAGTGGTTAGAGCGTCAGGACCAGAGGCTTGTTAGAACTGCATCTCCCAGACCTACTGAATCAGAATCTGCATTTTTTTTATCCTCGCCCAAGGATATTTTTTACATTGATTTTTTTAGAGAGAGTAGAAGGGAGTGAAGGAGAGAGAGAGAAAAACATAAATGTGAGAGAGACACATGGATTAGTTGCTGCCAACCCTGGAGGGGAATCTAATCTGCAACCCAAGGATGTGGGAATCGAACCGGGACCCGTTGGTGTGCCGGCTGATGCTCTAGCCACCTTGAAGCACTGTCCAGGGCCAGAATCTGCATTTAAAAAAAAAAAAAAAAAAAAAAAAGATTCCCAAATGATTCGTATGTACATCATCATCAGGACATGCTTATGACGAGGTAATCTCAACAGATGGCAAAAAGCCAAGTGTCAAGTGAACGACACCAAAATGCATGTCACTGGGACCCAATCCCTCCTTACTATCTCATTCCGTTAGAATACACTCAGCGGCGTTGAAAGCCTGGAGAAATGGAAAGCTGGCTTTACACACAGGCTCCAACATCAGGAATTCCTGGACGCAGACGCTTGGAGTGGCCTGGTGCCCTGGCAGAGGGTGCCCTCGTGCGGGGGAGAGAGGAACTTTCCGGCTCTTCCTCCCGTGCGGAAAGGACAGCACCTGAGGCTCCCGGGGTGATGCCTGGCCGGGGCCCACCGGGTGCGGTCTCATTGTCAGACCCACGGTGTCTCCAGGCTCGCTTTTCAGCTTTAAGACAGGTGCCACTGCCACGTGTACGCGCAGAAATGCACAAAGCAGAAATAAAGATGACCCAACTAGAATCGTGCTAAGGCGTAAAGGCAGAGGAAACTTTTCGTATTGAAATCGTTTCTACTCCTCGCCCTCTGGAACTGGGGCAGTCTGATCACGGAGTCCTCTCGCATCCTCGTTGTTAGAAATGAAACAGGCTCTTCCCTGCCTTCCTTCCTCTTGCACCCCTCTCTTCTTTTCTTTCCAGTCTCCGTTTTTCCTCCATTTATATTCCTTTCTCCTACATAGCATGTTATGTTCCATTGCTTTTATTTGGTAAATTCTAGCTCGAAAGCCTGGAACAGAATCTGTCGCTCGTCTTGTTGCACACTATTTATTTGCAAGTAAAGTCTTCGTGGAAGGCAGCTCATCAAGGTGTTTTTTTTGAAGCGCACATTGCCATTAGCATTTTAATGTTCCGGTGTCGATCTCAGTCTCCATAATGACTGATTTGAAAATATATGTTCGGGTGTGTTCGTTTATTAATAATAACCGGCACTGTTTCCTACTTGAATCCTGCCGTTTATTGTGCTTTCCTCGGCCTCGGACCTCCTCTACACGTGCCTCCTCGTCCTGCCTGCCGGCTACAGGAGCCCCCCCTGGAGGCGTTCAGGGGCGGTGGCCGTCCCGCGGAGGTCCCGGTGCTGAGAGGAGACCCCGGGGCGCGCGGGGCGGGCCGGGGCGGGGCGGGGCGGGCTCGGGTTACGGCCTCGCGCGCCGCGGCGCCTCCACTGGGCGGCCGCCTCCTCCGAGAGCCGCGCGGGAGGCAGCGGCGCGGGGTCCAGCGGCGGCGGCAGCGGCAGCGGCGGGAGCGCGGCGGGCGGCGGCTCCGCCCTGGGCAGCCGGGCAGCGCCGGCCGGTGAGTGCGCGCGGGCGGCCGCGGGGTCTGGCCGCCGACGGGCGGCGTGGACGCAGGGCCGGGAGGAGCGGGAGCGCGCGGGGCGCTGGCGGCCAGGCCCGCAGACCGAGCCCAGGGGGCTCTCCGGGTCGCCTCCTCTCCTGGTGATATTCTCTCTCTCTCTCTCTCTCTCCTCTCTCCCCTACAAATAATGGTCAGCTAACTAGGCTTGCCCAGGCCTGCGCCGCCTCTGAACCCGGACAGGACAGAGCCCCCAGCAGTTCTGTCCTGTGCAGACTTCCCGCGCCTCCTCCTCCGCAGCCTCGGTGCGGTGCTGTGTTGTGTGTGTTTTGCGGGCCCTTTGCAGCGAGACAGCCTTGCAGTCGTCTGCATCTTTACGAGGCGCCTGCGTCCCTCTGCTGTTGGCTGCTTTGCGGTCCTAACTTCTCAAGCGCCTGGACGTTGCTCCCAAACGCCCTCATCCCCGCCCCGCTGTGGCCATCGGGGCGCTTTCTTAGTCCAACCTGCTGGTATCCCGATCGGTTTTCTTATAAAAAACACAAAACTTATTTGTTTTCGCCCTCTCTTGGAGACCAGGAGCGGCCTCCAGTTATGCAGGGTGGGTCTGCCCGCTTTTGCCTTTGGGGGAGCCCCCTAGGAAAGCCTGAACCTCGGGTCTCCGGAAACTCCCGTAGCCGAGGGTTGCCAAGAGCCGCCTGCTGCCTGACGTCTGGTTGCGGCGGCCTCCGTGGTTGGCGCTGTACCCCAATTGCCTTCTGATCTTCTGGGCGCTGGAAGCTCCTGGTTTCTGTGCGTACAGATGACTGGGCAGGAAATCAACGAACTGGCACCGCTGGGCCCACTGAGTGCGCCCTCCGGCCCGGCCCATCACAGCGGGAACTGCGAGAGCCCAGGGCTGTGAAGAAGGCAGTCAGACCCGCGGGAAGAGTCTGTGTTATCCATCCGGCGTCTAGAATATTAAAAACATGAAGGGAAGCTTTTATAATAACAAAAATGGCAATTTAGGGCAGGGGACTGAAAGTCAGCTTTTTCTTATGGGAAACTGGAAACAACGCGCCTTAGATGTACAAAATGTGTCAATTGATTGTTTATGTTATTGGTAAGGCTTCTTGTTAGTAGTAGGCTATTGGCAGTTACGTTTTGGGGAGTCAGAAGTTACACTTACATGATTGACTGCACGGGGTCAGCGCCCCTAACCCCTGCATTGCTCAAGGGCCAACTGTTTACGCCGTTTTGAAGTGAAGTTTAAAATAGGTTTTTGCCCGGCAGACCTAGTTACTGTAGTATCTTTTTGTTGCAGAGGACTTTCAGTCAGGGGTCAGGAGGCTGGGGAGAGAAATTCAAACCTATTTGCATTAGAAAGAAGCTTGGGGTGAGGAATTCCTAGGTAAGGTTGCTATGGCTGATACCTTAAGTGTACTGCTGGGAAGCCTTCCAGTCTATTAGGTAACAACACCTGAAGCCCCAATGCTGTTACGTAGCATTTCTTTTTTTTTTTTTCTCCCTTTAACTACCCTGAAACTATACAGAGTTACACGTTCCTCATTAATTTATGAGCGATACTCAGAGAATTGACTCAATCCAACACTATTTGAGCGCCTTCCCTGTGTGAGGCGCTTCGCTGCGAACTGCAGAAGAATGGAAAATGAAGGAATTTTCCAGTTGAAGCAGCAATGGGCTGGTTTGTTAGGTCTGCCCTGTCTATTCAATTTAAAATAAAAAGCAGTTGAGCTTTCATTTCATTCTAAAGGTCAAGTGTGTCCCCTGGTTTCCTAGTCATTTTGTAATTTTTCTACCATTGCAGGTAGTCTGCATTTTAGTAGTTCCAAAGTAAACGTTTTTCTAGGAAATAACTAAGTAAGAAGATGTGTCCGTTTTTCCTGTCATCTGCATTAACATTGAGTTAATAAAGTCAAAATCAACAAGAAAAATGAGATGATGATTTCTTTTCCTTTGGTTTTAAACTAGTGAAGTCTTGCAGGAAAGAAGACAAAGTCAGCGTGGATAAATGCAGTCCTCTGGTGCTTTCCAAACTCTGTCTTACTAAGTCCATCCTTTTGGAGGATAAATTCAATTTCACGAAATCCTTCAATGCTTTGGGAGGGTAGTCCCAGAGGCTACTTTCATAAAATCTTTCATTGTGGATACCAACACCACCACCGTCATTATCTTCTCCCCAGCGTCAGCCTGGAATTCTAGGGAGTATTTGGGAGGGGACAGGTCTTTTTAAAAATCTGGCTAAAGCTAGGGACTTTGTCACCAGAGAAGACGCACACCCATTCAACATGTTGCATGTCTTTCAGAGGATTCTTGATGCCCAGGAATAAGGTGTCACTTTAGAACTAAGTAAATTAGTCAGAGGGTTGACAAGTGGAGGAAAATAGAAGTGAAGCAAGGAGTGGGTCTATCCACCAATGAGCGGATGTTATTTAATTTATATTTGAATGGCATTTTGAGTAAGTATTCTGTGAATGGGAAGTAATGGTATTATTTGTGAAGGATTAAATATAAATTAGTCCTATTAATGTTTTTAACCCTCACACAAGGACACGTTCATTGATTTTGGAGAGAAGGGGAGGGAGAGAGACAGAGACAGACATAGAGAGAGAAACATCGATGTGAGAAACATCCATCAGTTGCCCCCATTGGGATCGAACGTGACACCTAGATATGTGCCCTGACCAGGAAGCAAATCCACAACCTTTTGGTGTACGGGACGATGCTCCAACCAACTGAGCCACACTAAGTTTTGTTTGTTTTTTTTTTTGTTTGTTTTTTTTTTTAATTAAATCTTTATTGTTCAGATTATTACATTTGTTCCTCTTTTTTTTCCTCCCATAACTCCCCTCCTCCCAGTTCCCGCCCCACCATCCGCCCTCACTCCCCACCCACTGTCCTCATCCATACGTGCACAATTTTTGTCCAGTCTCTTCCCGCATCTCCCACACCCCTTTCCCCCCCAGGAATAGTCCATTCCCTTTCTATGTCCCTGATTCTATTGTAATCAACAGTTCATTCTGTTCATCAGATTATTTATTCACTTGATTCTTAGATTCACTTGTTGATAGATGCATATTTGTTGTTCATAATTTGTATCTTTACCTTTTTCTTCCTCTTCCTCTTCTTAAAGGATACCTTTCAGCATTTCATATAATCCTGGTTTGGTGGTGATGAACTCCTTTAGCTTTTCCTTATCTGTGAAGCTCTTTATCTGACCTTCAATTCTGAATGATAGCTTTGCTGGATAAAGTAATCTTGGTTGTAGGTTCTTGGTATTCATCACTTTGAATATTTCTTGCCACTCCCTTCTGGCCTGCAAAGTTTCTGTTGAGAAATCAGCTGACAGTCGTATGGGTATTCCCTTGTAGGTAACTGAGTTTCTTTCTCTTGCTGTTTTTAAGATTCTCTCTTTATCTTTTGCTCTTGGCATTTTAATGATGATGTGTCTTGGTGTGGTCCTCTTTGGATTCCTTTTGTTTGGGGTTCTCTGCGCTTCTTGGACCTGTAAGTCCATTTCTTTCACCAGGTGGGGGAAGTTTTCTGTCATTATTTCTTCAAATAGGTTTTCAATATCTTGCTCTCTCTCATCTTCTGGCACCCCTATAATTCTGATGTTGGTACGCTTGAAGCTGTCCCAGAGGCTCCTTACACTATCCTCGCATTTTTGGATTCTTTTTTCATTTTGCTTTTCCGGTTGGGTGTTTTTTGCTTCCTCGCATTTCAAATCATTGACTTGATTCTTGCGCTCCTCTGGTCTGCTGTCGGGAGTCTGTATAATATTCGTTATTTCAGTCCGTGTATGCTTAATTTCTAGTTGGTTCCCCAATATAAGATCGAGGGTCTTATTAGTTTTCTTGTAGATCTCATTAAGTTTATCGGCGGCTTCTAAACAGTTCTTGAGAGACCTTAAAAGTGTGGTTCTGAACTCTATATCTTCCATTGACAATTTTGTCCTGTTTCTTTGTCTCCGCATTTTGTTATGCTTCCTTGGTGCACCCCCTAGTGGTCTTTGTTCGAAGTCTTATAGTTAAATCTTGATTGTTGTAGCTAATTCCAGGGAGGGTTTGACCTCCAGGCCAAGTGGCTATGAGAATCAGCTGTGTCAGCAGTGAGAGAACTTCTGTCCTCTAGGGAGGTGCTAATCTGGCGTTTGCCTGAGGCTATCCGGCAAATGCCTGTGTGCAGGGCTTGGGCGGGGCGGGTCGCACAGGATCAACAGGGTGGGCCAGAGAGAGCAGTTATGGCGGCTCTCAGTCCTGTCCCCAGGGGCTCTGCCTCTCTGAGTCCCAGCACCCGCTGCAAACCTCAGAGAGAAAGCTGCACTCGCTCTGACCGAAGCCAGACAGTCCCGCTTCTCCCATTTGAGTCTGGGTCCCTAAAGACTCGCCTGTATCTGGAGCTCAGAGTCTGCGACTCCCTCCCGATTGAAAACGCCAACCGCGCCCTCCGCCACCAGCCCTCTCTGCGCACTCCGCACCTCAGAATTTGACTTCAGCACTGTGCCTCCTCTGAGTGTCCGTATGCGTTTCTCTTTCCTCCTAGTTGTAGGACTTCCACTCAGCCGGCGTTCCTGTGGTTCTGGGTGATGTCCCTTCCGTTTTTTGGTTTCACTTTTGAAGTAGTTGTTCAGAGCAGCAAACTCCGGCGTTAACCTATGCCGCCATCTTGGTTCTCCCACACTAAGTTTTTAGTTGATAAAGATTAGCTTTTACCTTGACCACTATGAATCTCACTTTTCAATTTTTTGTTGTTCTTCTCAATGAAAGTGTTCTAAGATTGTTTTTCTTCAAGTACTGATACACCATTCAGGATAGTTTTTCATGTTAACTTTGGTAGCCATGAATTGCTAAGTATGGCAATAATTCAGTTAAAAATTTGAACAAATTCTCTCTCTCTCTCTCTCTCTCTCTCTCTCTCTCTCTCACACACACACACACACACACACACACACACATACAGATACATAGTTCACCTTTAGAAGGGAGATATACACAGAGGGTGTCCCCCAAAATGTGTATACACACTTTAATACCTGATAGCTCAATTTTGAAAATGAAATGTATTTTAATAAGCACTGCCTTTATAATTATTCAATATGTGTATACATTTTTTGAACTCTATATATCTTTTTAGTATATAAATATTTCCGTGTAAACCATTGTGAGAATTGTAGTTGTGTCTTGGGAGAGAGTTTATTGCTATTGGGAATGAATGGACAGCATTAAGAATATTTTACATCCGAGAGATGCAAATCAAAACAATAATGAGGTACCATCTCACACCTGTCAGAATGGCTGTCATCAACAAATCAACAAACAACAAGTGCTGGTGAGGATGCGGAGAAAAAGGAACCCTCATGCACTGCTGGTGGGAATGCAGACTGGTGCAGCCACTGTGGAGAACAGTATGGAGTTTCCTCAAAAAGTTAAAAATGGAACTCCCATTTGACCCAGTGATCCCACTTCTAGGAATATATCCCAAGAAAACAGAAACACCAGTCAGAAAGGATATATGCACCCCTATGTTCATAGCAGCACAATTTACAATATCTAAGATTTGGAAACAGCCTAAGTGCCCATCAGCAGATGAGTAGATTAAAAAACTGTGGTACATCTACACAATGGAATACTATGCTGCTATAAAAAGAAGGAACTTTTACTATTTGCAACAGCATGAATAGAACTGGAGAGCATTATGCTAAGTGAGATAAGCCAGTCAGAGAAAGATAAATATCACATGATCTCACTCATATGTGGGATATAATGATCAACATAAACTGATGAACAAAAATAGATCCAGAGACAAGGTAGCACTGAACAGATCATCCAACCTCAGAGAGAAAGCAGAGGTCGGGGGGTTAGAGATCAACCAAAGGACTTGTATGCATGCATATGAGTATAACCAATGGACACAGACACTGGGGCAGTGGGGACTTGTCCTGGGGAGTGGGAGTGGCGGAGGGGGCAGTCAATCAGAGAAAAAGGAGACATATGTAATACTTTAAACAATAAAAATATATATGTAAATATATAAAAAAGAAATTTTTAGACATAACTTCTTTCAAATGACAAACCAGCAACTGTGGATAAACTGTCCTTTCTTCTATACCTAGGGCCGAGGAGCCAGCTGTCATTCCCACTGAGCAAGGTTTCACAGAACTTCACCAGACTTCCCAGCTGGGGACCCTGTCCCCTTCCCCCTTGTGCTACACATTAGATCTGGGTAAGTAGAGGAACCCCTGGAACTAGGAAAATGGGAGAGGGGGTCATAAGTAATAATAGATTATACCTGGACCAAAGGATTCCTTAACATTTCCAGAGGCCTGAATCACACCGGGAGAGCACATGCCAGAACCATCATAGCTTAAAACTCTCCCCTTTTAACTTCTATCAGGACCAGCTTGCCTGATCCTTAGGTGTGAACCAGCTCTGACTTCCCTTACTACTCTTCAGTAACAACTAGGTTGCTGGTCACAACCCTAGAATGTCATTGAGAGACATTTATTAGGTGAGTAAAGTAATGGAGATCATGATTTTAATCCAAACTCTTCCATTAACTAGGTGAGTGATCTTGGGCAAGTTACAAGTCAATTAAATTCTTTGCACCTTAATTTTTTTATGTATAAGATAAGGTTGTCATGTGGGATTAGTGATTCTTAATGTATTTGAATCACTTGGAGAGTTTAATTGGAAGGAAGGAAGGAAGGGAGGGAGGGAGGGAGGGAGGGAGGGAGGAGGGAAAGAAACTGGATCAGAGATTCTGATTTCATTGGACTGGGGCAGGCCCAGACATCTCTATTTTTTTAAAGCCCCCCTTTCCTGTATACACACCCAGAAAATACTAATGCCAAGCCAAGATTTCGAGTTACTGGGTTAAATAATCATAATGATTCTAAGATTGTATCACCTAAAGATAGAAACCAGGCCCACAAAATTCTTCTTATTTTAATCCTTACCAGAGGATATTTTCTCCATTGATTCTAGAGAGAATGGATAGGAGGGGGGAAGGCGAGGGGGAGACAGAGAGAGAAACATCAGTGTGAGAGAGACACATCAATTGGTTGCCTCCTGCACATGCTCCGACCGTGGCTGGGATCAAACCTGCAACCCAGGTGTATACCCTTGACGGGGAATCAAACCAGTAGCCCTTCAGTCCACAAGCCGACACTCAAACCACTGAGAAACCCCTGCCAGGGAACAAAATTCTTTTTATACACAGCCTGGCCGTATTACATACAGTTCACGGTAACCAGGTCTTAACATGCTTTTCTAAGAAACAGTCCAAATCAAGCAATGTCCGTTCATTCAGGGAACGTGCCGTGCCTCCTCACCAGCTAGTATTTCCACGGTGCTTTGCGAGTTTTCAGCAGCTAGTACATGTTGACGGACTGAATCCGGTGTCACTCTGCCTATCCAAGATGATTAGTTGTTCCTTAAGGTCCCCAGAGAGGATTATCTGTCTTCTCTCGGTATCCATGCCAGTGTTTAGTAGCCTGTTGAAATGTTCTCCTAGAGGTGATCTGTGACTTGTTGGGGTGGGGAGAAAGGTGTCAGCAAGGGATAAGGACGATCACCTTGATCGTTGCTGAAATGTGAGCTTCTGTGTCCAAACTAAGATAAAAAAAAAACAAAAATGATCCTCACGCCTTCTCAGGTAGTTGTACTACTGAGTTACCCGAACTGGGATCGGAAAAAAGAGCACATTGTTTACCTTAATCATTTGTTGGATCTAATCTTGTTGCCGTTTACATTGTAAATTCTGCAGACATTCACACTTGAAAATTATTCTTGGATTTAAAGGTATAACATTAAATGTAATCCATGAAATTTATTTCTGTTGATCCTACTCTTTCTTTCTCCTACTGCCCTTCACATCCCAAACACCTAGAAGAAAAAAACAGCGTATGTGTGACTGTCAGATCAGTAAAAGACAGACATGAGTTGACAAAAGATGAAAAGGCATTAAGGAGGAAATGTAGAACAAGGGTAAGAAGGCCCGTGGATTCAAGAACTGCATTTAATTTATTTCTTTTCTCTCTGCTTGGTCTTAATAGTTGCTACAAGTTTATTCTCAAGATTTCTAAAATTTAGGCAAATCATTGCATCCCACCTACTCTGTGTTGGTAAATGTGGCCCATGATTCCTGTGTGTTCTCTGAAGTCTTCCATACACAGCGCATGGAATGGTGTCTCCATGGGTCAGTTGGTATATAGTTGGTCTAATCAGCACTGACCAATCACAGAGCCCGACTGGATTCTAAATGATGTCTTATGTTGAAGAACATTTTTTTCTGGAGTGGAAACCTTTGGTGTCTCAGAGGAACTGCCCTCACCTTATGTCAAAAATCTGGTGGAGAACTACACAACCAGCTCAGCCCCCACCTCTACATTGACCTAGAGCTGGTTGTACTCACTGACATTAAAAAAAAATGTTTTTCTAGTATTGGATTCATTTCATTTGTGTATTGCTGATCATTGTTACAAAGATTTACTAATATTGAGCACATGCAATTTTATTATTTCGGAGGTTATTCTTTGCCTACTTCTTAAAATGAGTTAAGGTAGGAATAAATATACTAGGAAAAGATGGTTTTGTCATCATAACTTTAAACCTAATGAAAAACGTAATTATTATCAAATACTCAGTAATGTGTTTATATATAAGCATTTGTCCTCCCACAAATCTAATTTTTAAAGATAGTAAGTATAGTCAGGGTTGTTTTGGTCTTCAAGACTATCGTTAGTTTGCTCCTTAAATCTTTACTGCCTCAAAACAATTAAATGCTGGAAAATAATTAGAAATGATAAAATGTTCTTAACTAGTTCATTCTTAACTAGCATCTCCAAAGCTAGCAGGGGTTTTCATTTCTTCCTTGATGAACTCATTTGTTCGACAAATGTCTAATGAAGTCCTACTATGTACCTGTTTTCATGTAGCTTTAAGTCTTATGAAGGAAGGGAGGAATACAGAAAATAAGGAAGTAAAATACAGTGCAGGTTAGATGGTGATGAGTGCTATGGAGAAATATAAAGCTACGAAGAAGACAGTGGAGGAGTTGGTTGGGGAATATTTAAAATAAGTTGGCCTCACCTGGCTGATGTGGCTCAGTAGTTGAGCCTCAACCTTTGAACCAGGAGGTCATGGTTCGATTCCTGGTCAGAGCACATGCCCATGTTGTGGGCTCAATCCCCAGTGTGGGGTGTGCAGGAGGCACCCAATCAATGATTCTCTCTCATCATTGATGTTTCTATCTCTCTCCCTCTCCTTTCCTCTCTGAAATAAATTTTAAAAATATATTTTTAAAAAAGGTTTTCATTAAAATGTAGTTTCAAGTTCTCTTAAAAATTGGGTGTTCTGGCCGAAACCGGTTTGGCTCAGTGGATGGAGCGTCAGCCTGCGGACTGGAGGGTCCCGGGTTCGGTTCCGGTCAGGGGCATGTGCCTGGGTTGTGGGCGCATCCCCAGTGGGAGATGTGCGGGAGGCAGCTGATCGATGTTTCTCTCTCGTCGATGTTTCTGACTCTCTGTCTCTCTCCCTTCCTCTCTGTAAAAAATCAATAAAATATATTTAAAAAAAAAAATTGGGTGTTCTGTTTGCATGAAGTTCTAGAATAGGCAGAACTAATCTGTGGTGATAGAAATCAGAAGTGAGGTTATCTGACCCGGGGGTGTGGCAGGGATTGACTGGCTAGGGATGCGGGAGACAGCTGTGGATTATAGAAAGGTTCTGTTTGCAGTGGTCTAAAATGTGTGGCAGAACTCATTAAGCCATACACTGGTCCGCGCATTCACTCTGTGTAAACTGAACCTCAGCATAAAGGACATTTAGAACTGGAAGCCAACATTCAGCGAGAGCTGAATAGTAGCTGATCACTTTGGGCTTGGCACATGCTCTCTAGATTGGCACAGACTCACCTGGTTCACTTCAGTCATTGTCATTACCTACCTGGCCCTTCTTGGTGGTGTAGGTGCCTGATTCCTACAGTAGTCTCTTGGCAGTTTTGATTTCAATTGTAAATGGGAAGTGAATCTAAAAGGGCCTTGATTGGCAGTGAAGAAAAGAGTACTTGCCTCCTAGGGGTGTATGTGAAGCATGTAACAAAAAGAAACCCGGTAGCTTGCATCAGTCAAGCAGCTCACCTACATTCATCTCTCGATTAATGGTGTTCTCAGTGAAATCTGGGATTCTCAGAGGTCTCTGAACATAACTCTCGCTCTCCTCTCAAATGCCAAGGGGCTCCTGTGTTTGCAGACTCCTCCTCTAAGAGAATAACAAAAATTACCCTTTATCCGCACTTAAATTTTACTTTTATTATGTTTGTTATGAAAATAATGGTGTTGACTGTGGAAATACAAAGAGTATAAAATAAAATTACCCACAATTTGTTTACCATATTTTGGCAAATGCTTTCAAATCCTTCTTCATATATCTATATATTTTATGTTAAAAATGTGTTCAATTGATAAAATTTAGCACACAAGTTCCCAGTTTACAAAATGAAAAAAAAATAAGACAAAGATTAAACATGATGGACTAAGCAAAAGCATTTGCCTTCTCTCTATCCTATAACTCTTTTTAACTGACTGTAAAATTTTACAAAGACTAGGAAGAACTCTAAAGAGAATGAGAGAGGAAAACGTTTGGAGGAAAGTTACTGATGAGACAGAACCCAGAATTAGTGCAAGAAGGACCACCATAGGAATGGGGGTGGCCCTATAAAAAGGGGCTCTGGGCACAGCGTCAGCAAGGACAGAGCAGGCTCGAGCAGCCGGGCCTGGAAGCAGAGAATTATGGGAAGTCTTTGTGGATTAGTTAAGGTGAACCAGTGCTTCTAATATGAGTTTGGTATTTTAGGTAAATTCTTTCTCTTTCTTGCATTTGGGAAGTGGTGGGCTCTGGCCTGGAAGCCAGCTCTGGCCTCCTCACCCTAAAGTCAACCTAGAAGTCAACAGAGCCCACAGGTGCAAAAAGCCTCGTAATCACCATTTCATTCAGGGAGGGATCCTATCCTAGAAAATTATATACATGATTTATGGAGGAAAGCAACACCAATTAACCGGAAAAGTCAACGAAGTCTTTAATTTTAAAAATATAACCAAGAATAGCCTTCCATAGGAAGAAGCATGGGGGGGAAAAAATAAAGTTACTAGTGCTAGAGGGAATATCATTTAAAACAACTTTTTTAAAAAATGTGAGTAGCTTCAGAGTGGTTAAAAAGACATT